GAAACAAGGTCTCACTATGTAGCCTAGGGTAGCCTAAAACTCCTGATCCTCCTGCCTCAGCCTCTCTAGTGTTGAGAATAAAGGCATGTACCACCACGCCCAGCAGGAAATGTATATCTTTATCTAAGGTATTTGTAGTTACAGAGATACCTTTATAAAGCTTCTCAGGTCTCAGTGATCATAAAGAGAAAAGTCTACAGCTTTTAAATCACAGAGGGAATGGTTAATATATCATATGTGAAAACAGGTGCACTGTAGCAGATAAAAAATTACAGTTTTTAGACAGTGGGAAGACTACAGAGAGAATAGGGAGCTTGTTTTGGGACAAACAGGGAAAACCAGTCAACCTCTTGTTTTAGGATGAGAGATAATCTCACAGCTGCCACCCTGATGGTAACTCCTGCCTATTTATAAACTAAGTGAAAATGACATGATGTTCTAAACACCGCAAAATAAAACAACCTAAAGGTCCAAAATGTAGTTCAGCAGGCGAAATTTGATACTTTATTATAAAGTACGCTAAACCTAACCTATGTGTGTGAAAGAAGATGCAATAAAGAATTTTTAGTTGTGTAAAGAAACAAAGTGGCAAACAAAGCCAAGATGTTGTAAGAAGGGAAATAACATCAGCTGGGGGTGGTGGTGCACATCTGTAATCCCAGCACTCAAGGCTGTGACAAGAGGATTATTGTAAGTTCGAGACCAGCCTGGGCTACAAAGTGAGCTCAAGGCCAGCCTGAACTGTACTGTGAGACCCTTTCTCAAAAAGAATCCCCCCTTCTCCCCGCAAAAAGGGGAAATAACTTAAAAAGCTAAAAATGTAAAGATTAAAAGTCCAGGGAATTTTGTCTTGAAACCCTGTATCACTTTAAATGTTCTTGCTTTGGTTTGTTTATGTTTGTGATGCTGGTATGCTGCTACTGTTCTGTTTTTTTTTCCTCTCTCATTTACTACTCTCTTTAAAATAAAATTTAAAAAAAATGGAAGTCCAGGGAAAACAGAAGACTAAAAAGCAAGAGTAGCACACATATCAATTAGGTATGAGCCTGGAATAAAAACTAGAATCTAAATTTGGGTAAAACAGGATGAGAAAAAGGCAGTTTCTAAAAAAAACTGTCCAAGCAAATGCCCATTAACAGATGAATGCACTGAAAAAAAATGTGATTTATACATACAATAGAATATTACTCCTATAAAAAGGAAATGAAGTTCTGATTTATGCTATGATACAGATGACCTTTGAAAACATTACTGTGAATAAATAAAACAACCAGATATGGATATATATATTACAGGGTTCTACTTACATGGAATATCTAGAATAGGCAAATTCATAAAGGCAGAAAGCAGATTTGAGTACCAGGGGCGAGGGAAAGGAAGAGTGGGGAGTTACTGCTTACTGGGTACATTTCTGGGGGTGAAGAAAGGGTTCTGGAAACAGAGGTAAAAGATGTACAACATTATGAATGTAAGTAATCCACTGAAGTGTACACATAATATTGGCTAAAATGACAAATGTTATGTTATGTACATTTTATCACAAAAGGAGCTAAAACAGACTAAGAGAAAAATTAGTATGCAACAAAACAAAACCAGAAATTAAAATAATAAAATATGTTAACATATTGCAAGAATATGACCCTGAAATATAATCTAAGGAACATAAGTAAAATGTAGAGGATGTTTGTCAAAGAAGCAGTAGCATAAATAACTCTATTACAAATAAGGAGGATGATTATATAACAACATCTTAATCAGGACTTTTTCAGAGGAAAGGGGACAGTTAATCACACACGGACAACAGGTATTCACTGGGATCATTTCTATGTAAGAACAGTCAGGTCTCCTAAGGCAGATTTCAAACCCACAGCTTGGGGTCTGGCAAAAGAGCAACACTCTCAGTATCTTCTTGAAGGACACAACCAAAAATGCAAGGCCGGTTTAGTTTTTCTTTTTTCTAACTGAGAAATTAACATACAATTACATGAACTTTATTGACTTTTACTAATTTGGGACTCATAAAACAACACATTTAGATTTTATTTCATAAAACAACACGTTTAGATTTTATTAAGAGCTATAATTTGCTATTTTAGGGATTTTAAAAAGGTGAATGATACTATGAAACACAATGATAGATACACAAAGTCCCGACATGAATTATTTTAGAAATCTACATTTCTAAACTGGATATGGTAGCGCATGCCTGTAATCCCAGCACACGGGAGGCTGAGGCAGCAGGATCATTGCAAGTTTAAGACAGCCTGCATAACAAGACCCTGTCTCAAAAAGACCAAAAAAAAAAAAACTTTCTATATATTACACTATAGCCATTATAGCTCTATTGATACGTATATATCCTTTTATAATTATATTTGTGGTTAATTAAGCTCGAAAAATTTTAAAGTCAAATTAGAATTCCTGAAAATATTAGTAGCTCTGATATCCTGTCCATCTTTATCTTAAAACTAACATTAATCTTAATGACCTACAAACAGGTTAATTTAAACAGTCCGTACCTTACATGAGAAGCTCCGACTTGGGATGTTTCTTGCTAACTCTGATATCTTGGGTTTATTCTGCAGACACTTGGTTAGGTGATATTTTTTCAATTTTATTCTATGGTAATAATGACCAGCGAGGTTACAATGATTCATATGCTGTTTCTGCATGCATTTCCCAAGGTGAGGAATACTATACTTCAAAGCCCGGAGAAATAATTTGGTCTTCTGTTGCATGATATCAAAGTCCCTGGTTTATGCTCCCTTTGGGGCTGCCTGGACACGAATGATTTCGGACGTGTTACTATATGATAGGTTCGCAGAGTATCTAAGATCACCAGCTCTTCCCCTTCCCCTTCAGGGACACACACCCCTTATGTGATAACACCTGCAGTCAGCGGTAACTTCGGTTAAATAAATTTTAAAACTTGTGTAAGTGAAAGTTTCACTCAAATAATACTTCTCGGCAGAGGTGATTTAAAAGTTCCATTTGTAAAGTCAATTTTATTATGGTCAAGTTATGCAGCACTGATTCTGGTACACAAAGGAGCAAACTAAAAAAAAAAAACAGAAAACAAAATAAAAAATTGCAAATAGATATACTTAATGGGAAATTTCAGGCACTCTAAGAGTTTCAAAGGCAAAATGGGCTTGCTCTTACACAATTCTGAACCTACCTGTGGTATGCATGTGGAGGGTACACTGAAAAGGCTTGTTTACCAAAGACATTTGAGGGAGATTAAAATTTGTTGAGTGTCGGCTATGTGCCAGCTGCTTCATCTACTTGTCTAATTATACTTTATACGGACTGGAGAAAGGAGCTATATTACAGCAGTAAACTGTGGCTGTAAGAGGTTGAAATTACCGCCCGAAGTCACTTGGACTCTTAAGTACTATAGCAAAAGGTCCAATCCGATCTGACTCCAAATCTTGTCTATAAGCGATTACACTTTCATGTTAAACGAGTATTTAGCTCTCTACAAAACCAAAAATGACTGCAAGATGTACAAATAAAAATGAGGCCCTTTCTGGTTTCTGCTGGTAAGTTAAGTTCTTTTTAACCATGACAGCTAGTTAAGCAGTTAGGATTCAAACCTGGTTCAGATCTGGACACTGCACTTAACTCTGTCTCTGTGTCTTTGGCTTCCAGTTTTTGAAACATTAAAATAATGACATCATGTGTCTTCTGGCGTTGTTACTGTTTCAGAATAAAATGAAACAATTTAGACTTACTCAAAGCCCTTAATACAGAGAATGGCACGTAGTAACCACTCCACAGAAGGTAGCTGATATTTCTAGACTAGGAAAAATCTAGGTATGTTGCACCCTGTTGAATATAATCACAGAATTCGTTTGTAAAACAGCGTCTGGTGTCACAGGTAAAATACTGCGTCAGAGTTACTCCAGATCTGATCGGCTACAACATCCCTTCCCCCCTCAATCTCCTATGTCGCAGCAAAACAACGGGGGAGTGCATAGAGCAGCAGCAGCCGACATTAACAAAAAAGGAGAAAAAGGTCCCCTAAATCACTATGCCTGTCCCCACAGCCTCCAACCATCCGTCTTCCGCTCGCAGAGAAGACAGTATGCAAGATGAGGGATGAGGCTGGGGTAGACAAATAGGCGTTTCCACGATCTATTCGTTCTCCTTGTGCAACTCTCCACCGAGAGATGTGACAATCGCAGTGAGAAACAGTATGGTTACATGCAGCGAAGAGACAAGGATCAAAGGAAGGACCAGGGGACTGAGAGGAGAAAAGAGGTTAGGGAAGAGACTCCAGCACCCATCCCTCATACGTACGCAAGACGAAAGAGTCAGTCCGGCTCTGCACACAAGCGAGAGAAGGAAGGCCGAAAAAACCGAAGCTCCCAGCGAGAAGCAACAACCACCCCAGTTACGTTCACCTGAAGTCAGAGCTGTGCACCCAGCAGACCCACAGCCTACCCAGAGCCGCCCAGAGCTGGTTTGCAGCACGCCGACCTACGTAACGCCGAACCAGGACGAGCGCTAAGCACATTTCGCCATCTTTATTGTGGTCAACAATGGAGTTTTTCTCCACCCGGGTTCTTTAATCTTCAAAGATACAACATTTTAAGGTCTTTGCTAGTCTTATGAGCTCGAGACGAAGCTGGAAAGGGGAAAATGAAGAGTGATAGTATTCCACTAGCTCTGTCTCAGCTTCCTCGTGCGCCGGTCCGCCCTCACTCAAGATGGCCGCCAGCAAAATGGTGCAATGACGCGAGACAGCGCCGCCGTGGTTGCCAAGGAGATGCGAACACCGGAAATGCGGAATTCGGGGAGGACGCGCGCACAGGCCGTAGGCTAGAGGGCGGGCGTCACAGGTCCTGTCAGGGAAGAACTTGGCAGGTCCTGACAGGGGAGAGCTGTTTCGGCCGCACCTCTGCTAGTAGTAGTAGACGGCGCGGCTGGGATGGAGTCGCGAGTCGCGGGCTCGGGGGTGGGCAAGCCTGAGCTAGCCGCGAGCGAAGGTGCCACACTTGGTGGCGCCACTCGGGGACCCGCAGTCTCGGCGTCCCTGGGAGCCGCCCGGTGGAAGCTCCTGCGACAGGTAAGGGGAACCTCTGGCCGAACCGTGGCCGCTGGCCACTCCCCTCTCAGGCACCTGGCGGCGGTGCCCGGTCCCGCGCTCTCTGCCTAGCAGCCTGGGGAGCTCCTGCTCTGTTCGGCCGGAGCCACTTGAAAAGCGCCCCCTCGCTTCACACTACGGTCCCACCGAAAAGGAGGACTTTTGGGTTGGGCGGGGAGAGGGACAGCCGTGGTCGAGCTGCTTGGAAACTCGGACCGAAGTGGGAGATCCGCTGCTAGACGCTCGTCCGGGCGGCTTTTCCCGGGCTCACTGCTCTGATCGCGGGGACCTCCGCTCCCACCGCCGCTGTCCTTCCCGCCTCTGTTTGGCCACCTTGCCCGGGCCACTTCTTGCTTCTGAACTCCCAGCCTGCTCTGTCTCCGTGCCGGGGAAGCGAGCACACCCTCAGCCGCAGTCTGGACGCCAGGGTTTAGTCTCCACCCGCTGGCCGCGAGCCTCTGGGAGAGCGGCGTAGTTGGCGGTGATGGGACCGGGAAACTGCGCGCGTCGCCTCGGTTTCTCGCGAACGGCTCGGCTTGAGGGGAGCGGGAAGAGCTGCGTCTGATCCCTCTGTCACTGGGACGAGAAAGTCAAACGTTTGTTTTCTAGTTTGGGGCGATCAGCGGGATACTCGGTGTCCCAGGTGAACGGGTCAGGGCGTTGGTTGGTCCAGGGAGGGTATCTGCTCCTACTTCAAAGTTGGTGTGGTTCGTGATGATTTCATTCCTGGAAAGGTTTGACGGGAGTTCTCATTGGCCCTCCCTGACACTCTAAACTGCTGGAAGTGAAATCTGTTCAGGTTTTCACATCCCATTTTATGCCTGTGCCCGAGAGTTCCTAGAACTTTTGAGTACACTTTCCACCTCGGGCGACAGTTTCCCAGCTCTCACCACCTCACTTGCAATTGTGCTCGTAGTGCTTTTGAGGTCATTTTGTTTGCAGTTTTCTTGGGTCGTTTCAAACAGCGGTCTTTTAGTGCTAATACAGGGTAACTCAGCGTGAAGATCATTTCTTTGCTGAGGCATTTACAGTTTTCCTAGAGCATTAAGGATTAGGTTTTGCCGTCAAGGACAACGAAATGAATATTTCATATATCATTGTCTCATTTGTCATATACAGTCAAGTGCATATCTCTTAGAATTAATCAAATCTTATATTGAGCTTCCTAATGTGAAAATCCAACATCTGAACTGCTCCAAAATTTGCAACTTTTTAAAATGCTGACACGATGCCACAAGTGGAAGATTCTACATCTGGTCTCCTGGAACTAGCGGCAGTCAAAATGCAGGTGCACCAAATATATAGAGTTATCTTCAAGTGGTGTGTGTAAGGTGTCTGTAAAGCAGATGAATTTGTGTAGACTTGGGTCATGTTTCAATTATAAAAATGTTACAGAATCCAAAAGAATCCACTAGTGGCCCCAGCCATTTCAAGAAAGGGATTAATTTTCATCCCTCACCTCTCCTATGATGCTTTCCAAAAACACAAACATGTTTGAGTAAACACTATCTTTTGTTACTCTGTGACATAACTTAAGAGATTCTTAGTATTGTAAAAATTACTGGGCCAACACTTTTGTTCATTCTGTCTAAACCAAAACCCTGAAAAGTTTCACCTGTGGATATCATTTGAACTCTGTACACATCTTGATATTTAATATTTTGGTACATATGTGCCTGCTTAGTGTCTTTTTTTTTTTTTTTCCACACTGGAAATCGAACTCAGGACCTTGTGCTTGCCAGGCAGGCACTTATGCCACTGAGCTATATCCCCAGCCATGCTTAATGTCTTTTAATCTCTGTTCGGTGAGTGATTTTTCACCCTTTACACTTGTTAATGTGAAGCTTCCCTCAACACCTCTGGGTTAATACCTTATTCTACCCTTTATTGCATTGTTTTACAGTTATTTGCATAGAGTTTCTTTTTCTTACTAGATGGGAGTTCTCCCTGGGGAGGGGGCTATCTTCTGTATCTAGTTCAGGAATTGGCTGGTTGGTTTTTAGCAGATAGTGTGAAATTCTGTGGAAAACATCAGCTTGAGGAAAGTGTTGAGGTGTCTGTAAACCTATGGTGTTGAGCCCTGACTGCATGAATTAGCTATTGCTGAGGAACACAACCACAATGTCACTATGACTTACAACAGTGAGCATTTATTTTGTTTGTGAATCTATGGGTCACCTGGGATTTGACTGACCCAGATTGTAATCAACTGGGTGTCTTTATACCGCATGCTTGATCTACACACCTGTAATCTTCTATCAGTTGACTGCCATGTTCTCATGGTGATGGCGGTTGTAAGAGAGCAAGCCCAACCACAGAATCACGTTGTAAGCCTCTGCTCTCATGATGTTTGCTAACATCTCTTTGGCCAAAGTAAGATACTTGGTTAAGCCCAATGTCAAGGAGCAGGAAAGTATGTTCTTTTCTTGGATATGACAGGGAGAAAGTGAATATTTTTCTACAGTAATGTAATCTATCACATACTAGACATTTGCAGCTTCTTGGTAAATATTTCAATCTCCATTCATATCTTGTATACACCCAGAATTAGGAAATCCTGAGGGATCCAACCAGTGCTGGAGATATGCAACTCTTTCTTTTGTGGGGGCACTTTCACAATATCTGTTGTTTTTGTTCTCTCGCTCACCGTTCTGTTTTTCCATTACCCTACATGGCTCCAATGTTGTCTCATGAACCTTCATTTTATAGTAACGGTTCAGTATCACCTATGTTTTGAATTCACATTTTTGAGAAAAGACCTCATTGACCTCGTTCATTATTTGGAGCCAGGTCACATGAAAAGTTGCTGACATTTGAATCTAATGCTAACTTTAATTAGATGAAAGTCTATGGATCAATAGCCATAGATGGTATGAATGTTGTTTTATTTTCCTCTTTGTTGGGTTTTATTTCCTGATAGCAAAATGGCCAGAGGCCATTTTAGGCTTTCATCATCCACCCAGCTAGTGATCCAGAAGAAATGACCCATTTTTCCTAACATCTAAATCATTTTCTCTGAACAACTCTGACAGGCTAAGTTTGAACCAATTATTGTGTCCAGGAGAATGGGGCACTTTGGTAACCTAGCACATTAGCTGCACTGAGGTGGGAAAGATAAAACCCTACCAGGATCACATGAAGGAATGGTGCAGGACAGATGAAAAAGTAGCAATGAGTGTTACACACTTACACAGATATTCCCAAACACATAGTGAATGAAATACCTTGCCTGGAGGGCTGAATACTTGGCTAAAGAATCTGATTAATTCAAGTTAAAGTAGGATGTTATATGTTTGAATACTGAAAGAGACTGCAGTTTTTGGAGTAGAAGTTTTTTTGTTTTTGTTTTTGTTTTTGTTTTTTTTTCTGGTACCGGGAACCGAACTCACGATGTTGCGCTTGCCAGGCAGGCGCTTTGCCGCTGAGCTAAATCCCCAGCCCCGGAGTAGAATTTAATATACTGTAGTTTGAGGCCAGATCTGCCCTGAACTTTGTATGATGGTGAGCGAACTCGTTCAATCTGGGTTTTTTAATTTGTATATGAAGAAATGAGACTAGAGTTCTTTTTTGGATTTTTTTTTTTTCCGGTACCAGGAATCAAACTCACGACATTGCGCTTGCCAGGCAGGTGCTGTGCTGCTGAGCTAAATCCCCAGCCCCTGAGACTAGAGTTCTTAGGGCCCTCTCCCATCTCTGGTTATTTTTAAATGGAATTATTTCCATGGGCTAGAAATAGTTTTATTTTCTAATGCTATTATTTTGTGTGTTCCCAGTATAGATTTTATTTATTTAACACTTTAAAAATTTTCCTGTTGAATACATATGCACAGAGACAGTTGAGCTCATGATGGTAACTCTACAAGATAGAAAAACTGGAAGTAAAATCTAAAAATGTAATATATAAAAAAGGAGTATAGTAGAGCCCTTCTTAAGTTAGTCCTAACTACTTGTCTGTGGATGTTGAGCATTGTGTTATCTCTGAACAGAGGGATTGAGGGTGAGTTTTTGCTCTTCTGTATTAAACTTCTTTTATACTGATCATGATTATTTTCAAACCATTTTTCATCTATTCCAAGGCACACATTTTAAATTGTAACATCTTGGCAACTGATATATGTTTTTTAATTAATAGCATGCCATAGTCAAATGGCAATCTATTTTATAACATCAAAAGAAAGAAAATGGTTGTGTTTTATGATTAGTAGTATTTTATATTTGACAAAAAACAGTCATGAGGAGGGCCGGCAATTTTTTTCCTTTTGAGGAAAAACACCAAAGACCCTTGACCACCAGAAAAATAATTTCATGTGAGTGTCTAAAATTGTGTCTTGCAGGGCTGGAGATATAGCTTAGTGGCGCAGCGCCTGCCTGGCAAGTGCAGGTCCTGAGTTTGATTCTTGGTATCAAAAAAAAAAAAATTGTTACTTGCATGAGGTGCTGTGTACCAGAAGACTTGTTACCTTGATTAGTACTTGAAAGGTTAAAGAAGCAAATCATAAAAATGATATGCATTTTATTGTTATTTAGTTAGTTAGTTAGTTTTTTTGAGACAGGATCTTACCATGCAGTTCAGGCTGGCCTTGAGCTCACTTTGTAGCCCAGGCTGGTCTCAAACTCACAGCAATCCTCCTGCCTTAGCCTCCTGAGTGCTGGGATTACAGCCATGCACCACCATGCCCAGCAATATGCATTATAGAATGAAGTTACAGTCTTGTGCCAAATCCTTCTAAATATTTATAATTAGTGCTCTAGGTTTTTACATTTGGCTTCCCATTCATAGTAAAATTTTAAGCAACATACTTTTTTTTTGAGATAGTCTTGTTGTGTTGCCTAGGCTGTCTTCCAACTCCTGGGCTCAAGTAATTCTCCTGCCTCAGTGTCCCAAGTGCAGTACTATAGCTAGAACTGCAGATGCAAACCACTGTGCTCACTTAGCAACTTACCTTTATCAGCCAAACTTACTTTATCTCCAAAATAGTCAA